GTACTCTCCCCCCCCCGAAAAAGAAAGGTGCCGACGGCGGCGAAAAAACGAGGGGGGAGGAGGCCAAGGCTGACGATATCGCGAGGGCCGTCGGCGGCGGCGTTTCGGTCGAGGTCCTTGGGCGTTTGGAGATCCTGATGTCCGGTGAGTGTGGTTAGTCGTCCTCGTCGGTGATGGGTCCGGTGCCGTCGAGGGGCTGTGCGAGGGTCCGGCGGCGGGGCTTGATGTCCTTGGGCGCTTCCTCCACTGACGATTCGGAGCTGCTGGAGCTGGGGAATCGGCGGCGTTTGCGTCGGTTGTCAGATCCGGATGAGGCGACGGTGTCGTTTGCTGGGGAGGGCTGTCGAATTGTGGAATGTCGACGCTCGATATTGGCGACGTCCCTGTGGGAGTCCGTGGCGGATCGCGGCCTGGTGTGGCTGGGCCCGGTTCGGGGTCGTTGCATGCTGGACGCGCTGCGGGGGGGCTGGTCACAGGCTGGGCTTCGTCGTCGGTGCTCGTAGTTTCGAGCGTCCCAGGGTCGAGGCGAAATTGAGGCCGGTCGGTTTCGTCGATATCCTGTGAACATAAAGGATTTGTACTTTTTTGTTGGACTAGATGCTTTGGTATTGTCGGGGGTGGCGCGACGGGGAAGTTATAGGGTTGTAACTCCCAGGCGTTTGCCTGTCTTTCGCCGATTGGGGTCTGGATGCGATATTTCGCTTCGTTTAGGATTGCCGTGATCCGGAACGGTCCAAAGCGTTTTGGTAAAAATCGCCGGTTGGCTGCATGTTTTTCTGTTGTTTTTAGGCGTGGCCTGAGGGTAACCATTTGGCCGAGCTTAAAGGCGGGCCGGCGGTTTTTATTGGTTTGGTTGATGTACCGTTTGCGGTATTGTTTTTGGTGCGCTTTGACTAGTTTGAGTTCCTGGGATATGTCCCTGCTGGGTATCTCAAATTTGATGTCGGCGGGGGTGGGGATTGGCTTCTGGTGCCAGAGTTCGATGGGAGGTAGACCGGTGGCTGTGTGAGGCGTTCGGTTATATGCGATCGCTGCGTCGAGTAAGACGTCGTCCCACGTGGTGGGTGATGATGCTGTTTTGGCTATTATTGCCGACAGCGATTTGATCGCTCTTTCACAAGCACCATTGCCTTCTGGATGGTATGGCTGGGCGATGTGGGAAGCAATCTGGTTTGCGGTAATGAATCTTTTGTACGGTGCCGAGTTGAACACCGCTGCTCCATCCGAGTGGATAATTTCGAATGTCCCCATTTGGGCGAATACGTCTGCTAAGAAGCTGCATAGGGCGTTCGCTGTTGCTCGTTTGACGGGTGTGGTGACCACTCTACGTGAGTAGTAGTCGATCGCGACGATGGCGTAGCGGTTCCCTTTTGTGGATGGAGGGAAGGGTCCCCAGAAGTCGACGCCTAGGCGGTCGTGTTTGTCTGCGGGTGGGACGGGTGTGAGTTTGGTTCCGACTGCGGCGGTCGCCGAGTTGAACGTGAAGCATTTGGCGCATTGCAGGACATGATGGAAGATGTCGGTGCGCATGCCGGGCCAGGTGAATCTTCTGCGAATCGTATCGAAGGTTTTCTTCCAGTTTGTGTGGCCCATTTCTACATGATATTGGTCCATGATCTCTGCGCGCTGCCCTGGATCGGGTACTTCGCGGAGTTGGATGCTGTTCAGTTGGATGCGACTGAGTNGTGCGCATGCCGGGCCAGGTGAATCTTCTGCGAATCGTATCGAAGGTTTTCTTCCAGTTTGTGTGGCCCATTTCCACATGATATTGGTCCATGATCTCTGCGCGCTGCCCTGGGTCGGGTACTTCGCGGAGTTGGATGCTGTTCAGTTGGATGCGACTTAGTGCGTCTGGCCCTGTGAGGGTTTTGCCCGGTCGGTGTACGAACGTATGCTGGAATGGTTCCAGTTTCAGGCGGAGGGCTATGAGTCGCGTGTCGACTAGTTCTCCGAGCAATGCTTTGTGATCCGTGACAATTTTGAATTGTCGGTGTTCGACGTAGTGTCGGAACTTTTTGGTTGTCGCCCACACTGCCGCTAGCAGTTCTCTTTGGGTGTTGGAGTAGCGGGTTTCCGCCGGTGTTAAGACTCGGCTGGCGTACTCGATGATGTGTGGTTGTCCGTCGTGGTCGATTTGCACTAGGATTGCGCCGATGGCGGTGGCGGAAGCGTCGCAGTGGACTTCCGTGTCCCACTGTGGTTCGAACCTTTCCAGGCGGGTAGCGTTGGCGATCGCCTGTTTGAGCGCCTCAAAGGTGGCGTTTGCTTCGTCCGTCCACTTGAGTGTCGTGGAGGGTTTCACAGGTATCGTGTTTCGAAGGGTCTTTTCGAGGTTTGCAAAGTTGGTTGGTACGTGCGATCGCAGGTACGTTGCGAGGCCTAAGAACCGTTGCATTTGTTTCGTGGTTTCGGGTTTGGGAAACGCTTGGACTGCGGTGAGGTGGTTCTCGGCTGGTCGTGTGCCGGTTTTGTCGACAATATGACCCAGGAAATGAATAGATTCTGCCAAGAATTTGGATTTGGAGATGTCGATGGATGCTCCTGCGGCCGCTAGGGTTTGTAATACCTGGGACAGGTTCTGCAGCACTTGGTCGAACGTAGCGCCGAAGACGATTATGTCGTCTATGTACACGAGACATTGGCTGTAGAGGTGTTGACGGAGTATGGTTTCCATGGTCCTCTGGAATATGGCCGGGCCGGTTTTGAGGCCGTACGGCATGACTGTATATTGCATTTGCCCGGTCGGGGTTGTGAATGCTGTTTTGTGGCGGTCGCCGTGGGCTATGGGTATGTGGTGATACCCCGAGTGCAGGTCTAGGCAGCAGAAATATGCATTTTGTCTGCCCAGGGCGTCGAGGATGTCTTGGATTACCGGCATCGGGTAGTTGTCTGCGAGTATGACTTTGTTGATTTCGCGGTAATCTTCGACTAATCGCCATCTTCGGATTGCCGGTGCATTTGGGTTTTCGTCTTTCGGCGTGAGAAATGCCGGTGAGTTGACCGTGGATTGGGCCGGTTCGATGATGCCAGCTTTGGTATAGTTGGCTAGGATTTCTGTCATAGCCGGTATTTTGTCGGGTGACAGGCATATGCGTCTCGGAGGCTCGGGGTCTTGCCCGTTTGTTGGGATGGAGGCGACGTGTTGGGGGAACAGGCCGTGTTTTCCTGACCATTGGAAGATGTTGTCTTTGTATGTGGTCAGGAGATTCGCGATCGCGTTTTGTTCTGCGGGAGAGCCGTTTACGAACGTAATACCTTCGCCGGGATCGGCTTGTGGGACTTCGTTTATGGGTTTTATGGTTTGGAAGCCCGAGAATATTCGTTGGCCGTCGAGCGTCACACAAAACGGGAGATTTTTCAGTGTGTCGAGGCCGAGAATTATGGGATATCTCGCGTTTGCGAGGAGGAAGAAGGTCGCGGAATAGTCGGCTGAGCCAAGAGAGAATGTGGTACTTACCGAGTGGCTGATTTCGGCGGAGATGTGTAAGACGGCTGCGGAGATCTTCGCTTTCGTCGGGTGGGGTGTCAGCCCTACTTCTGCTGCGACGTCGGTCGCCATGATCCAAGAGAGAATGTGGTACTTACCGAGTGGCTGATGTCGGCGGAGATGTGTAAGACGGCTGCGGAGATCTTCGCTTTCGTCGGGTGGGGTGTCAGCCCTACTTCTGCTGCGACGTCGGTCGCCATGAATGACCTGGTGGCTCCAGTATCGATCAGCGCTGTGACGCGTTTGTTCTTGATACCGATGATTATGGTGAGGCTGTCGTCTGTAGCTTGGGGGATCGAGCAGAGGACAGCCGTCACTGCCCGATCTTGGCGTTTCCCTGGTTCGGGCAGTTTGCCGCCGTGTGACCTGTAAGTCCGCATTGTACACATTTAGTCGGTTGGACTGTTTGTGTGTTAGGCGCGTTTACCTGGTTGGCCGGATTGTTTCGGCACTCCGCCGTCGAGTGTGCGACTAGGCGGCCTGGGTGGTAGTTACACGATTGTAAGTTTCGTGGTGACTGGTTACCCGTGGCCGTGTTGGGCCGTGAGTTTTGCCCGAGCGAGCATTCTGCGGTCGTGTGTAGAACGTACCGTTGGTGATGGTCACAGTAGTGTTTTTGCACTCCGGACGCCGTAGTTTTTGGTCGGCGGTTGTTTTGCTGTTGGGTTTGTGGAGCGGGTGATGCTCGCGGCGTGTTGGGGTGCATGCGGCGGTATTCGTCCGCGTATGCGAGGCAGTTGACCCATGTTAGGGTACGGTCGGCGGTCGCCTTGGAGTAGAGGTGGGCGTGGAGCCCTCCGGTGGTGATCGCTAGCAGTTGCCCGATGAGGGCCGCTGTGATGGATTTTTCTTGCCCGGGCAGGTCTGTGGCGCTGAGCGGTAGGTAGCGAATGTATTCGCATCGGAGGCGATTGCCAAATTGTGCCCATGATTCGTCGTCGAGTGGGCGTAGGGCGAGGAATCGCGTGAAATGTTCGAAGGGCGAGAGCCCGAACTGTATTTTGAGCCGTTCGGCGATGTCGTCGTAGTTATGGTACCCTTCGTCATACAGTCGTTGGGCGGCCGCCGCAACTGTGGGTGTTGTGTGCCCGATCAGGCAGTCAATCTTCGTGTTGTTGGAGGTCCCGTCGTGACTGAAGGCGATCTCGAGTCGTCGGAGGTAGACTTCGAAGTCTTCTCCTTGGGCTTGTTTTGGGAAGTCTGCGCGGCGTCGGAGTAGCGTTTCCGTGATGTTCGCCGTAAGTTCCGCGGCGTAGGGGTTGGCTGAGGGGCCCGGTGGGGTGTTCTGGAGCACGTTGATGGGCTGTACGCCTCGTGCTTGGAGTGCTGCGACTAGTTCGTCTCGGTTTCCCAGATGAGGGATTTGTGCGGACGCACAGTACGATCGTATTGCTGGGAGCATGAGGTGTGCCCATTGATTGTTATTGCGGTAGCTTTGGGCGAGCGCCGTCGCTGAATCGATTGAGGGGCTTGGGGACGGTTCGTCCAGCTCACTTTGCACAATTCGCTCGTTCGGGGTCGCCATGGTTCGTTTTTCGCGCGGCTGAGCCCCCAGTAAGACTTAACGTCTCTACAAACACAATCAGATGCAGGCACCTTCTTGCACTAAGATACACACAGAGTAGAACACAACGGTAGCGGTTTATTGCAATCACTCTGGTAGCAGATTATAAGTTCGACAATACACAGTACACACGATACAAGGCACTGGTTCGGGTGACGACCGTTCGGTTCGGGAGCTATAGACAAAGTGAGGCTCTCATAGGCCTCAGGGGTACGGGCGCGAGTCGGTTGACGCAAGCGCGCGCGTACATTGCGTCAGCCGGTTCTGATTGGTGCGGCGTAACAAAGTGTACAAAACAGTCGATGTCGCGTTTAGGCCTTTAGCGCGGGCCATGATGGCGGCGCCTATGGACCCGCGCGGGGGTCGTACTAATTTTTCATCCTGTTCTGGATTTCGTCGAGATTTCAGAGGCCACCCAGGGTACAAGACTAATTTTTAATCAATAGAAAGAGTGTCAACAGTCAATTACTCTACACCAAAAATCATTCCGAGAATATGTTCCGGGTCAGGCATTGGGGACCGAAGTCCTAAAGGATTCCGGTGACAAATCCTGGTCTGATCTGGTCTGGTAGCTGACTACGTAGATTCAGTCGGAAGTTCCCGACGCAGGAGATCCGGTAAATTGTATGTTAGCAAAAGATGAAAACGCGAATCCCAGAGAAACCGGGTCAGGATTCGACTGGCTGAATAGCGGATCCTTGAAAACAGAAACCCACTCNCGGCGATGTCGTCGTAGTTATGGTACCCTTCGTCGTACAGTCGTTGGGCGGCCGCCGCAACTGTGGGTGTCGTGTGCCCGATCAGGCAGTCAATCTTCGTGTTGTTGGACGTGCCGTCGTGACTGAAGGCGATCTCCAGTCGTCGGAGGTAGACTTCGAAGTCTTCTCCTTGGGCTTGTTTTGGGAAGTCTGCGCGGCGTCGGAGCAGCGTTTCCGTTATGTTCGCCGTAAGTTCCGCGGCGTAGGGGTTGGCTGAGGGGCCCGGTGTGGTGTTCTGGAGCACGTTGATGGGCTGTACGCCTCGTGCTTGGAGTGCTGCGACTAGTTCGTCTCGGTTTCCCAGATGAGGGATTTGTGCGGACGCACAGTACGATCGTATTGCTGGGAGCATGAGGTGTGCCCATTGATTGTTATTGCGGTAGCTTTGGGCGAGCGCCGTCGCTGAATCGATTGAGGGGCTTGGGGACGGTTCGTCCAGCTCACTTTGCACAATTCGCTCGTTCGGGGTCGCCATGGTTCGTTTTCGCGCGGCTGAGCCCCCAGTAAGACTTTTACGTCTCTACAAACACAATCAGATGCAGGCACCTTCTTGTACTAACACACACACAGAGTAGAACACAATGGTAGCGGTTTATTGCAATCACTCTGGTAGCAGATTATAAATTCGATAGTAAGACTTTAACGTCTCTACAAACACAATCAGATGCAGGCACCTTCTTGCACTAACACACACACAGAGTAGAACACAATGGTAGCGGTTTATTGCAATCACTCTGGTAGCAGATTATAAACTCGACAATACACAGTACACACGATATAAGGCACTGGTTCGCGTGACGACCGTTCGGTTCGGGAGCTATAGACAAAGTGAGGCTCTCATAGGCCTCAGGGGTACGGGCGCGAGTCGGTTGACGCAAGCGCGCGCGTACATTGCGTCAGCCGGTTCTGATTGGTGCGGCGTAACAAAGTGTAAAAAACAGTCGATGTCGCGTTTAGGCCTTTAGCGCGGGCCATGATGGCGGCGCCTATGGGCCCGCGCGGGGGTCGTACTATTCCACCATTTGTCGCGGTTTCGTGTGGCATGTTTTCATGAATGACTGTTTCACTGTAACTCATGCTCACCGTTTGTCAACCGTTCTTTGTAATTCTTCAGCGTGTTGTTCAATTTGTTTGGTGATAGTAGACTTGCACATTGAAGAATGGAAGTTACCGACTCTGAACCCTGATGTGAATACACGTTGAGAGGCCGAGAATTTCTTGGTTTCCATTGAACTCTCTCAAAATTTCCCGGTTCTGCTACTCAAGCCACTCATCTTACAGTCCGTTGATGCGGTCATTCGGCAAGTGGCAGCCGTCACATTCAAGAAGTACGTTTAGCGAAATTGGGAAGTTGACGCGGAAGATCACATACGTCCCTCATCTGCCCGGTATGTTTCGACATTTTTGCCACAAATTGTGAAGAAATCATGTTCTTGATCAAGATTCTGAAAGCCAGGTCATTCTAATTGAGGGCGGCTCTGCGATTTTTTTGGAGCTATCCTAGTTGGGGGGACCCAGACTACTTTTCATGTGTTACGAGACTTACAACGACTTCATGAATAACCATACCACCCACCTAATTGGATCTCACGCATCAAAAGCCAGTCCCAACTCATATCTAAATGCTTCGATATCTAAGCATATCTGATATTCCAATTTCAGTGAAGAGATTGAGCTCCCTCAGCCAGTGTAGCGTCGAGATGTATTCCTTGTCGAAAATTTATCTACGTTGGCATTAATTCGTGAGCATGAACAAAACGCCGCGGCTGTCGAAATATTGGGACATTCTTCGTATATTAACAGCGAAAGTTTTTCATTCCCTGAATTACCAAGACTTGCCGGAATATTTTGAAGACAACATGGTGTCCTGGATTCCGAACTTCTGTGAGCTCCTTTCGCATTCAAATCCATCTCTTGTGTCAGATTCGGATACAGATCCAGGTCATTTGGAGAAGTTAAAAGGGGAGATCTGCGACATTGCGTCTCTCTACGCCCAAAAGTACGGCGAAGAGTTCGAGCAGTATTTGGGACCCTTTGTCAGAAGCACTTGGAACCTTCTTACAACCACTTCAAACGCCCTGAAGTACGACAGTCCTGTCGGATCTGCTATTGGATTTTCATCATTCGTTGCCAACCGCGTGTCTAACAAGAATTTATTCGACGATGACGCTTCGTTGGCGTCCAGAAGTAATCATACCGAACATGGAATTCAGACCTGGAGACCGAGAGCTCTTCGAAGACAGTCCAGAAGATTACATTCGCCATGATGTCGAAGGCTCAGACATGGAAACCAGGCGTCGAGCCGCGTGTGAACTCGTTCGCGCTTTGTCGATGTTCTTCGAGACGAAAATCACGGTGAACATCTTTGAATACGGCAACAGCTTGTTATCGCGACATGCTTCAAATCCAGAAAATCACTGGCGTGAGAAAGATGCAGCTTTTTATTTGGTTGCAAAAGGGAAGACAGAAAAAAAGCGGAGTAACCAAGGCAAATGCTCTGGTCGATATCAAAAGTTTCTTCTCGCACCATATCCTACCAGAGCTGGCAGATGCGCAAGTTGATGCCCATCCAGTGCTAAAAGCAGATACTTTGCAATAAGTGCATGTGTTTCGATCTCTGCTGGATGCGAAGCTCGTTCGCTCTGCGATCCCACCGATGGTGTAACATTTGTCTGCTAAGTCGATCGTGTCGCATTTGTACGTTGCATCGGCTATAGAAAAAATTCTGGCCATGCGTGACAAGATGGTGTCTGCTGCGGATTTATTATCTGAGATGGAGTCGTTATTGAAAAACCTTATTTCAATCTCGGAGGTCGAAGGATCAAAGGTGAATGAATATGTGATGCTGGCAACAATGAGAGTATTGGCGTGCCTGTGGTTGGGGTGCCTTATGGAGCTTCTCTGGTGGGAAAAATTGTGGTTTTGGAACTCTTTCTTGGTCAGGGCATGTTGCAGGTTGGGATAGGTGATTGGCGGACAAGCCGCCAGTAAGACTTGACACAAGTTAGACAAGATTTTTCAGTTTATTCAAAGGGCAGATCAGATACACAGACTTTCTTTCTTGACAGCAATTTGTCCTGACACACACACACACTGTCCCAGAGCTCTTGGTTGGAGAGTGGCTGAAGCAGAAGTGTCCTCGTTCCTACTTTTTCCCTTTTCATCCTCCTTGTCCCTGTTCAGTTTCCTTGGAGGATCTGGCTGGATGCAGCTGCATGCCTAGGTGTTGTTGGGGGTCATATTCTGTACACCTGGTGTTGTTGTGAATTTTGTTCTGTACATATGTTGGGAGTTTGTATGCCTGGTGTTGTTGTTCCTGATGTTTATGTTCCTTTCTTGTTTTCCCTCCTGGAAGGTGTGCTGACCCTTACTAAGCTGTAGTGTTGGTATCACAAAGTGTACCATAATAACCAAGACTTCTGGCTACCTAGACTACTAGAGGAATGTGTTGTCAGGAGGTTTTCATGTGAAATTGCAGTGAGACCCCCACATGTGGACACCTCAACATGGGGACAATTGAACATATGGACATTAATTTTCAATTTGAAAATCATTAAAAAGGCCCAACATGCAGATAATGACTCAACATGAGGATATTGCATGATAAAATTGGCAATAAATTTTAGGAAAATTGACTTAGGCCTAATTGCAAGAAACAGATATTCCCAAACCTAAGATCTATGCAAGAAAAATTCTTTGGTACTTTTCCCATCACTTTTCCAACCATCCAGCTAATTTAAATAATTTATCCATAGCACAGAGGGACTTCCTTCACTCTTTGTGGCTTGGATGTTATTTTTACAGATGCCAACATTTCAATGAACTGTGCAGTGGTATAATATTCAATGCTCCAAATGTTCTTATTGGGTTGAAAAGATATTCACTGATTCAAATTCAAGTGGTAAAATTTTTTTTCATGGAATTCTTGAGAATATTTCTCCTATACAACACCAATGTAAGTTTGTGGGAAAACGAGACTCAACTTAGGGACACTCTTGATGCATCAATTATGTCTGCGTCTGGGGGTCTCACTGTTATATACTAGTCCTTGATGTACAATTAAGTACTTGAATCATTTTGTTCCTGACATTTTTTGACTGCTGTAAACCTTAGGAATCTGTTTTGTTTTGCTGGATTTGTGATGCTGAGTGCTTCAAATGAATCGGGGAGCCGACAAAATGGTCGTGGAGGGCCCACCAACAAATGTGAGTACTCGTCACTTAGTGCAAACCATTCGCTCAACTCTGTCTAAACATCACAAGCCCTTCTTCAGCGCTCGAGTTGGCTTCGGTTGATCGTCGCAACTGGCTGATCCATTTGCATTTTGTTCGCCAAGAACATGATATTTGCAAAAGGTTGATTGAAGAACAGTTGGACGAGACGCGAGGGATGTGCGAATATGCTAACTTCATCATGGCTGTCATTTTACGTCACGAAGGAAAAATTCAGGAATCTTTGGAGCTCTTTCAAGCTTGCGCAGTGTTGAATCCTTCAAACGTGGATAATCTCAAGCAAGCCGCACATTCATTGTAAGCATCCTCTGGTTGATCCATTCGCATTTTGAAATCGAGGAGGGAAACTCGTAGTATATACCTATTTCTGATATTCCAATGCGCGGAGAGAACTTTAAGGACCCAAGTTCGTTCTAGATTTTGACAGTAAACATCCACTTCTTGCTCTCAACTGAATGCAGTAGCCCAGCTGTCACATGTGTATGTATTCATGTACGAATTTTTGATCAGAAAGTTTCGGTTGACCATACGAGTACCAAGACTAACTTTGCATGCTTCCACGTTGGATAAGACAGATTGACTGGACTGCGGAGGATTGTCCATTCGGAATTTGTTCTCAACACTGAACACGCTTCGCGCTGCCTGAACGTCATGGACACCGTAGAGCGTAGACCACTGAAAACGCTTAGTCCACTCAAACCTTCTGCAAAGACTGTGTGATATCTGCTAACAATACCTTCGTGCTGTTCAAGATTCTATTCAAAATCAACTGTTGTGCAAGAAAAAATTACATTTTACAGTCGTTAACACTGCGTTTCGCATCACAATCTCCGAACTGGCGCATATCAGCAGAACGTGTCTGAAAAAAGTTAATCCAGACATTTTAGTTCATATTGATGAAGATCGTGCTTTGGGCATGATGTTTCATCTCAGGGAACTGTTTATAACATTGGCATGCAAAAATGTACAATTATAATTTAAAGTTTTTGAGGAAATTGCCATACAGTCCTTGATGTGTATAGCATTACAGTCAAGTTTCTTCTCTGCTTGTATAACGTGTCGTGTAAATGCTCAATTTGATTATTCACAGTATGTAATTGTTTTTCAGATTTCTTCTGGGTAGGCACAAAGCTGCCGTGGATATATATCTGGAAACGTTGAAGTATTGCGCCAAAGATTGGGAAATCAGTCACAATATAGGTAATGTTGTAATTATGTTAATGTGTAACCGTATAAATTCCCTACCGAGCAAGAAGAGTTCTCGTTCCAGGCAAACCGAACATCTATTTACATTCTACATTTCCTAATCCTTCTTCGTAGATTTTAAATTCAATTGATGAATCATTTATTACAATTCAGCATTTAAAATGTAGTCCTTTGGAGGCCACCAGGAGAAAAGAACGTCATTAATTCCATGTACGTTTGTAGGTCTGTGCAAGCTTTACTTGGGGGAGGTTGACGAAGCTCAAAAGTTTTTTCGGGATGCCTTGCAGTGCGAGAAGAATCCGCTGACGTATCACTTCCTGGGAAGGACTTACATTGCTTTGAATGACTTACCGGCTGCAATTGAAGTTTTCCAAGCAGCTGTTGAGTGAGAATCTCACCTAAAATAAACCATCAAAACATTTTTTACAGTTTCTGAAATTTTTTCTCCAGCGTTTTTCCGTGGGATAGTAACTTGAACACCACCATGGGCCTTTTATACTTACAAAGTGGACACCTCGGCAGAGCTTTTGAACGACTCGGTAATGCACTAACACTTGATAGCGAAAAGGTCCAGCAGCTTTGTCGTAAAATTCTCCAGGGAGGAAACAGCGCTCGTGGTATCAACGAATTCAATGCTTTTGAATCGCGACCGAATGGAAAGTAGGTGAATATTGTTTCTAGTGTACATACTGTGTAAATTGAAGTTTTCCATTTCTTGTTCAGAGCGTTACTAGCTGCTGGAGCAATTATGCAAATGCACGGTGATCATGACGCAGCATTAGGCAAATATCGAGTTGCTGCGTTCTGTACTCCGGAGTCTGCACCTTTATGGAATAATATTGCCATGGCTTTCTATGGCAAGAATAAGTTTGTGGCGGTAAGTTATCATTTGTGATTGGAACCATATTCAAAAATGTTAGTAAATATAAGTTCTTCATTCCGAAGCGTCTTAACTGTCCTCCGAAATGTTTCTTTAACACAATTCTCGAGCCGAGTTTTGTTTCCTCCAAAAAATTTTATGAATTCAACTGTGAGGAAATATTTCTCCGTTCGAAGAGCCGTTTTAGAAAAAATCAAGTTCATCATGCAAGCTTCCAGTGCTGTATACAGTATTTATTTTCTCCACTGCGTTGATGAAATAAACTAGGACGAATTTTTCCAATCAATATTGTGCCTTGTGTTGCAGGCGATCAGCTGTTTGAAGAGAGCTCATTACTTGAATCCAATCGACTGGAAGGTGTTGTGGAACCTTGGACTGGTGCACTTAACAATGCACCAATACGCGACAGCTTTCAATTTCCTGTCAGCTGCGGGAAATTTGCGTCCGAACCGAGGAAATATTTTCTCGCTTCTTGGAGGTAGGAAAGGAAATGCCGGTAACATTATTTTCTTACCTGATACTGAAAAACTGTCCTTATCCTCTATCAAGTGACTTTGACGAGACTGAACGACGCAGAAAATGCTCGTCTCGCTTATGTAGAAGCCGTTAAATTGGATGAGAAGGACTGGCTAGTTTGCCTGAATTATGCCTATTTTCTGAACACAGTCCCAGACCGGGACGCTGCTGTGGAAATGATGAATCTGTTGCAGAAGCGAGTCTTGGCAAGAATTAGTTCGAAGCGTGCGTCCTCTTCATTGGACATCGACTTTGAGGTAAAGTTAGGAGAATTGTTGCCTCAGTCCTACAGCTACCACAAATGGCCGATAGAGTTCCTCTTGAATACTGTAACTACGCGAAACGGTAAAATTCTAAGGCGAATTGTAGAATACAGTAGTGTACTATATATACTGAACTACTGTACGTGCATTAGTGGGCAACTATCAAGTTATAGATATTTATACAACGAGTCTAACGATTGAGCTGAAAAACAATTATGGTTCAAAAAAGATTTCTTCGACACGAGGAAAAACATTCATCCATGTTGGACGTACTGTATTTTTCATACCATTTTTGCCGAAGTCATCCTACCAGTTTTCTGCTCTTCACTCAAAAATGCTCTTCTTTTAAGATGAGGCGTTCACCCAGCAGATTTTTTGGTCCACTCCAGCTTACCTTTAGAATTCTTGAAATCTTAGTTGCATAAAGTTCAGGTGTTGCCCTCATTCATTGATTATTGATGCTACCATTTTTATTCGCAGCCGCCTCGTGTGATAAGAAAGTAGCGGCTGTATCAACCGGTGGAGGGGTTGCAATCTTTGTTGTGAAATATAACCTCTAGGCTTCATATTCCTTCTCATCTCTTAGTTACTTCTCTTGAATTCATCATGAAAGCTACTCCTGAAATTTCTGTTTTGATATCAATGGAGAACATTCTGAAAAGACTCACCGATTGGTAAAATGTAAGAGGATTTTTTCTGGCAAATTTTAAAGCGGCGATTCAAAAAGAAAAAACAATTGTAAGTGCCATGGAATGCGAGAGAGGGGGATAAATGCCAATTCAACTTTTTCCATGTTTGGGTAGATACTTTGGTTAGATACTGTTCAAAGGTTTCAACGAGACTAGGTCAAATTGTTTTCTTTTCAGTGAGAACTGTTGTGGTCAGTTGTTTTGATGCAATTTTTTAGGTCATTGAACTCTCGTCACGGCTGGCTCAAGCCCTCGGGATGGACTGGAACTTGGAAGCGGCAATTCGTGCTAAGCGGACGTCCCGCACAACGACAATACAAACTGAAAAGCTGATTGCGACTGATGATACCCGAGAGGAAGTTGAAGTAGGAGGGACTGCTGAAGTCGAGTAATTCTGGAAGAATTCATGATTTTTGTGATCTTAAAGCCTCCAGAACGTAATTCGTGATTATCTTATGTGGGTTTCTAATTACCATTCCTTTCTAAATCATGGTGGAGCAAATTTGATCAATAGTCATATTTTCCGAAATGTTGGTCGAACTCAGACGCAGGAAAGTGGTTTGGGTCGTATTTAAAATATTCAAAGATGGTTGCTATGCTATCCATGAAATTTTCGAAGAGAGTCAGTTGTTTGGCCAACATTTCAGTTGAATGTTTCACATTTCCGCCGAAAATTTTACAGGTTCTTTAGGATTGAAACGATATCTGTGAGACATTTCAGCAAACAAAGGTCTCAAAACGACTAGTCTTATATTTCTCGATTTTTTTTAGAGCACGTTTCATTATTCGGTGCAGGAAAATGATCTCAAATCAGTTATTTTTGTTTTTTGCATTCTGTCTGTGATTGATGTTCGGAAATGCAATTAGTCCGTCCTTCGACTGAAAGTTGGAGTACTTTTCTAGATTGAGAAACTTTTTTCTTTCTGTTCTAGGATGTAATCGCACATCTGATAAGTGAGCAATTGAAAGTTTTTCTCGGAGTGTTGCGTTGGTTCGGCGTTGTACGCTGTGGGACACGGGCATAAGCCCTGATAAAAGAGGGTTTGATCCTGGTTATGTTGACATTCCAATGCCCGAAAGTTGACTGGCGGGTTTAGTGCTTTTTCCGAACTTATCTCCTATTGACTCTTTGGACTTTAGGGTTTTGGTTGAGATATCTGACCTCGTTCTTGGGATGAGATAATATCACAGTCCCTTGAATATTTTATTTTGCGTGATGAACTTCCGTAATATGTTATTGAATTTCACTTTTATCTGCAGAACATGTACGTTTCTGGCTGCTCTGGAGACCTTCACGTAGGCCTAATTTTTTGTACGAGTCCCCAGGCTGTGCGAAAAATAATTCTTACTTTTCAAGCTTTCTTTCTGTAGCCGAATCTTCAAATTGTTTCTGCACTCCTGATTCCCGAGTGGGGGAGCTAAGTTCTTATCAGGCGTCGGCGACCCATGTTTCTTTCTGGAATCTAGGGCAGATGTTGCTCAAAACGATTCCAATTTTGAAGAAACTGGTAGAGCGTTGTATGAATTCCTTCATACTTTGATTCAGACACTATATGGTACAGTCGCTGCACCACCAAATTTTGGCCAGATTTTTTGGATGCATTTTTTCTTATTGACACACGTATATTGGTTGGCACTGCTTTTTCCAGCTGTTTCTGATGGCAGTTGAACTTGATTTCCCTTCTTGACACACTTATAGTATTGTGCTCTCTCAACCAATTTAATGCCATGATCTGATTTCCTCTTATTCACCATTCACTGCTTTTCTGATCATTATTACTTGTGTTTTTTTATTTGTGTCAGGTTTCCTCAGATTTATTCTTAACTTATAAATGCTCCAGTTGGCTGATTTTTCTTAATTCCCAGGGGCCTATTATTCCCCTGCCTGAACCCATAATGATGCAGCATCATTAGCACCTGCTTTAATCTGGCCCTGTAGTCTCCAGGTATACTTCTATGATGTGGATGTACTTGTTCAAATCAAATTGTCAAACATTCCTCACAACCAGTCAAGTTGAGCTCCATCTGTATCAACTTTTCTAAACCACATTTCAGGAAGTTTTGCACGTTCAAATCTGATCAGTGCAGAAGCATATAGAGGCTAAAACTTTGTAACACTTGAATGACCAAAAAGTGGACTCCTTTCTACTGTGAAGGAGTTGTCCTGTGACACCCATTATTCCAGTGTGAAACTCCTCACTAGACCTGGAGTCCTCCCAGTACCCTGTAGTAAACTCAAACCCTCAAGTCCTCACTATAGTGTGGGTAAAGGAGAGAGTGATGAGAATAGGGAGTGAGGGTACTGGGGATGCAGTGGCCTAGACTAGAGGTATGCTGACCAAGAGTTCTGCTCTGGGGAGAAACTACACCACCCCACAGTAATACAGTCAACCCCTGGTTAACGAACTTAATTTGTTCCACAAACTAGTTCAGTAACCGGGGGGGGGGTTGTTAACCGAAATGAGATCCGCCATAGACTTACATGTTAAAAATTTTAATTTGTTCCAAATTTTCAAAAATATTTCCCAATTACTAAACTTTGGAAATTTGTCATAAATTGAATTCTGAACCGATTTTCAAATACTTTTCAGCATTGCATGCGCAAGGATGTCCTCTAAATTTCCCCATTTTTAATTATGCCAAAATCTGAAAATGTGACAGAATT